TTATAGTATCAAAAGTCCCCCCCTGGGGGGGGTGGGGGGGGGGGGGAATGCAAGGAGGGAAAGGCGAATAAATAAAGCATGAGTGTAACTTCTGGCTCTGCTCCCCGCTGGGACGCTGCCAGTCTGGGTACAGGCTCTAGCGCTCCACCCTTATGCAACGCTGATAAGGCTGAAGCGCGTCCCCGGCTTTGGAGAGGCTTTGACCCAGTGTCTTTCGCTCCCAGATTTCGGGGCCAGCAGAGACCCCGCGCCGCACAGATCAGTCCTCAGCTTGCAAACCGTAGCCGGGCACAGCTTTCAGAAAGGCACCCAAACTGATGCCCTCCACGGCATAAAGAATTTGTCATGTCCCTTTGAACACTATATTCGGGAGAGGGAGAAAAGCGGAGGATAAGAATATCCGCTGGTAAAACTTGTCTCGTTTCCACCAAGTTAGGACTGGATGAGGACGCAGTTAGTAATCCTTCGAACTCGCTGCTCCTCTGGCTGAGTCCACACACTGATTTTTGGATTTGTCATGACCTTTCTCCAGCTAACGTCCCCTTCAGCAGTTTACTGACTTTTTCACTCTTTTTGTGCTCTAAAAATAATGCTCTGTTACAGAGGAAAAAGAAAGAGGGAAAATTAGCTGTATTTTTTCCTTTTCTTCTTTAACTACCAGGACGGTTAGTGGGGACGGTCCCTTTTTATCCCTTTTGGCGATGTCAAGCACGTGCAGCGGGGCTTTCTGCCGGAAGACAGTGGTACCCCTTCAACTACACTGCTGTTGCTAATGCCGGTGCAGATCAAGTCCGGCGGCCTCCCATCAGCCAAGCAGATGCAGAGCTGTGGTTGCTCCCACATGCGCAGAATAAACGTTAGATTGCTGCGATTTTTGCCCAAGGCAGCAGTGGGGGTGTTCACCACTGCTTCTGCAGGACCCGAGGGTTCCCCACCCTCCGTCTCTTGACCAAGAGCTGGCGCTGCAGAGGCACTGGGAGAAAGCTCACGCAAACTAATGAAAATGCTGATTTTAAAACTGGGCTAGTAAAACTGAGCAAAACCATGGGGCGGACGCTCATCCAGAATGAAAAGGAAATCATAAAAAAAAAAACCAGACTCAGACTGTTGTACCTTTATAAACAGATTTCAGGCCCCTCAGACAGAGCCATGCAGTCCTTGTCATTAAGGTGGACAAATGTTCTCTGCCCTTCAGGAGATGAAAAAGAAGATGTGGAGGAAACCAAATGAGATTAAGGCCACTTTAATTCGGAGCAAGAGTACCACATAGGGGTTTATCACTTTTTAGCTCTTCCATGACCCTCCAGTACCCGTCTGTTGCTCACATATACATCCTGACAGGCAGACAGATACATGCGTAGTCCTAAAAAATACCAGCCCTCTATCTGAAAATAGTGGAGTCCCTTTTAAAGAAATGCCAGCTCACTTCATGTTTTGTTCTTGCTGACATGCCCTTTTTAATACACTAGAGTCAATGAAATTACTCACGTTGAGTTCACTGTATGCATGGAGGGCCATATCTCACACTCTGTATCCCCGGGAACTTTGTGGCTCATATCTTAGCCATACGGAGCATCAGGCACATGCCCTGGTGCCAGCTCATGTAGTTAAATGTTGCTTTACCTAAAGTCCCAGCTCCTGGACTCATGCGATATTACAGAAATCTCATTTAAAGATTTGCCCTCTGTAACTGTGGGAAAAAAGCGTGAATGCTAGAAGCTCAAAACCTAGAAGTCAAATCGAAAAAAATGATATGTGCCTTTTGTGGTTTAAAGGACTTGCTTGACTATGGAAAGCTGTGATTTCTTAATATTTGGGATCGGTGGTATTCGACCACAGGACTCTCCAGGAAAGCAAAGGGTCCCAAGGGTAGCCTTTATTCAACGGGGACAGCAGCACAGACGGAAGTGGTGAAACCCAGCGCCAGCTCCGGCCCAGAAAGCCCCTTGGCTATGCCACGTTTCTCCCTAGCTTAGCACGAGCTTCCCCTCAGGATGGCACTGAAGGAGAAGACGACTTCCAAGGGGCGCTAAAAGGCTGTTATGCTCCTAGCAGGGCGCTTTGATTTTGGGGGCCACATGAAGGAGGAAAAAGAGGGGGCGAGCGATAGTCAGGCTTGCTAAAGGCTTTCTGATTGACTTGTAAATACGCTGTTTATGTCCCTGGTTTGGGATGCGTTCGCAGAGGCCCTCCCAACCAAGGAGGATTCCTCCTCTTAACCCGTCCTCGCTTTCCCGCTCCTCCGGCTGTGTCTACCCTTCTGGTCACGGTGTTTGGGAAGGGAAAGGACTGTTTGCAGAGCGTCTGACGGACACCCGCTCATCGTCCCTGCTCGCGACGACTGGCTGCGGGGCACGAAAGCGGGGCGAAAGAAAACTGGTGCGTTCCCCCACGCGGGTCAGCCCACGGGCTGCTCGACATCCGGCCTTTCACCTGAGTTTCCGTTCTCCCGCAACAGTTACAGGAAAAGGGCAGCTCCTCCAGGAGGCCACCCACAGCCACCTGTTTGAGTTCACCAGCAAGTCAACCCGGGGCAAAGCACAGAAGACAAGAGAGGGGGGGACAGCAAGTGCTCTCAGGGACGGCTTGAGGCAGGGAGCGAGGTTCGTACAAACCCTGGCCTTTTGGAAAGGAGGGCATGTAAAAATCCTGACCCGGCTTTACTTTTTCCTGCGCTGTGTTTCTGTGTCGGAGAAGCCAGCTTTCGGTGGTGACACTGGCCCTCTCGCAGGAGACAGAGAGGTGGCCACAGCTTGCAGTGTTCAGTTACAGCTCCCCCTAGAAATCAAGGTCTCTGCTGGGACACCACCAGTGTGATGCCATTTCAGTGGTTTCCTCTTTGGTTTTTAAGCTTTCAGTCCCTTATGGAGGTATGTTTAAGAGGAAATACCTGTATTTCATTTAACGGTACCTGCTCTGCACAAAATCCGCAGTGAAGGGAAATTCTGGGAAGACATGAGATTTCCCCAGCTGCTCCAGTTCTGCGCTTAGAAGGAGGGGAAGAGGGTCACAGCCCAATTTAGGTCAGCCTAGGCTGGATTGTTTCTGCTCGTTTAATAGAAATCGTGGCAAACTCATGGTTCCTTTCCAAAGACCAGCTCTAAAAGACAAAGAAAAGCAATAAGGCAGATCAGTCCAGGTATCTCTTTCCCCTATGTCCTACAGCAGAATTAGAGAGTAAGACCAGACTAGACATTCACATTAACTCTGCAGGGGTTTGGGAGCGCAAGATCACTTTCATCCTTTTGGGTTTCGTGGCTGTGAAGAAGGGTTCCCAAATAACTGAGCAACCAGAGCCTGAGATTACACAAAAAGAGACACAGCCCAAAAATCTCTGTACAGGGGCTTTTCTTTTTTAATGGTTAAAACTGGCACGTGCTTTAGCTGATTTGCAGGTAACTAGTGATTTGGGGGCCTTGCCTTAAGGAGAGCAAGAATTGTTACCCCCTCGAGAGGTAAAATCATTCCTCGTTGTACAGACAGGAGAACTGAAGCATGGAGCGTTTAAAGGGATGTGATAAAAGTCACACAGCCAGTCACTGCCACAACCAGAATAGCAAGGGAGGTCTGACATAAGTTTTGAGTCCACCGTTTCTGTCTGGAGCGTATGGGGGAGATCATACGCTTCCCTATACAGCGCTAAGAAGCCATGGAAAAATTCTGCCAAATTTTTCCATGAAGAAATTCATCTCTGGACTGAAAACAGGCCTGAGAAGAGTAGGTCAGAGGAAAGAGTTACCTGCTAAATTTCAGAGCAGTTGGAGAAGAGGAATTTCAGCAGAAGCTCTGTTTCAATCCAGCTTTAGCAGATGCCAAGGTGTCCAGAACCTCCCCTCATCTTACAGGAAAAGAAAAAACTTCAATTTCCACAAATAAAATCCACAGAAAAACCCCAAAACACCCAAGCTCCTGGGCAAAGGGATTTTAGTAAACACAAGATCAAATTTATGTTTTCCACGAGAAAACCTAAGAGCACCGGATCTTGTTCACTCTATTTGCCACAGATACACATTGCCTTCAGGGGTATCTCAAACACGTGCAACATAGGTATTTCAGTGGGAGAACAGCACCGGAGTCATACCGATGCGGCTGCACTGAGGTAGCATTAAATTACCTATTTCCAGCTTATTTGTTCGTTTTTAACTTTGTCCTTCTAATGTTACTCTTGTTCTCCGTTATTTATGGTTCATTCCTTCTATTATGACCACATTGCTGAAATAAGCAGAAGGGCATGTTTAGGCTGATTTTCAGCTAAGATCCCACAGTTCCTTTTTTTATTCCAACGGGGTTTGTGATTTCTGGAATTACAAAAGGTAATCTGGCAGTAAGAAAAGAGAGCCTCTTGCTTTCAGGGAAAGTTGGGGTGGGAGGGAGAAAAGAAAGACTCTTTCATTACCAGATTTCTATAAACCAGATAGTAAAAGCTTTATTGGTCTACACACAAAATCACAGTGTGATTGTGCATGGCGTAGGGTATATTTCCAATAAATAAATAAGTATTTACAAATGTGCTGGGTGTACAAAACAGTGGCTTGAACCATTCCCATTCAGAAAGCTACAGTTCATGCAGCATGTTTCTTTTATTTTGCTCGGAGGTGGAAATACAGCTTGATCGTTCTGGCACACCAGAGGGAAAAAAAGGCTGTGCGACAGCAAGTTCACTTAGCATATAAAGTTGTATCCACCCAAAAGAGGGGGAAGAGGAAGAAACACAAACTCCTCGAGAGCTTAGCAGTCACTTTCCTGATGCACAGCTAGCTGGCAACGAGCACGCTCCGTTCTCAGCCAGTTTGCGAGCAGCCTCTGACCCTCTGGGGTTCTGCCTACCAGGCTTGCGACTGCAAAACCAACTTTCTGCTAAAAAACTAAGCGCTGCTGCACGCAGATATCTCATGGGCATAAACCTGTCAGCAAAAGCTCGGTCGCTGCCTGTTGAAGCTAATGCACAAACAACCATTGGCTTCACACGAGATAAGGCTCGAGGATTAAGAGCCCCCCCCCCCCCCTTCTCTTTCGGCGTGTTTTCTTGCATAATACATGTACTGGCACCGTGTGAGATTTGCAGAACTTCCTAAGCCCATTGTCTCACTATTTTATAAAAAGAGCTGGAAAAATACATACAAGTTTTCCAGATTTCCTCCAGTCTGTGGCTGGAAAGCAAACACAGGGCTGGGTCCTGCTCCCGCTAACGCCACTGGAAGCCCTGCCGCTAACTTCAACACAAATAGGATTTCGCCGGAGCAGGCTGAGACTAAAGGAAACGCAAGAAAAAACTTAAGCGGCCTTGTTAACGACATTTTAATCCAGCGATGAAAGAAAATCACAGACGAAATCGTGCGGTGAACGCAAGGCACAGTCAGGCTTTGAAAAAGGCCCTTCCTGAAAAAAAAAATTGCTCTCGCATTCTTGGTATCCCCATTCAAGCTCCGCACAGCCTCCCCCAAAACCCCCAGACGACAAGGAGGAATAAAAATCAGCCATTTTAGCCCTCAAACAGTGACGGTCAGCAGAGTCCCGACTATTGCTGCTGGTTATATGCAAAAAAGCGCCCGGCTGCTGGAGGTGAGAGGCTGTGTAAGACAGAGAGCGAAAAAGAGAAAGCGCATGAAACTTCTGCCAACGTGCAGACCGGTGCAGGGAAGCCAGGAGAAGCGCTGACCAAAAGATCTTTGCTACTTCTTTCATAGTTAATCAGTTTAAAAAAAAATTAAACCGAACCTAAACAAAGGCAGGAGCATGCCAGCTCCTCTTCATCCCAGGAAAACCTTTACCTCCGAGCTGGTGGCATACTTTCCAGCTGAGAAGAGAAGGCACTCGGGTGGCCTAGCTGACAACCATCAGGCAAGAGACCCTTTAAGGTCCATCATTATTAATTAAATAGTCTATTGCATATGTGCTCTTGCCTCCACGGTCCACATGGGCTTAAAAAGTCACTTCCAAATGGAGACGCATACACACGCACAGACCTTTTCGTTGAAACTTCACAGAGGTTGCTGACTCGGGCAAAGAGGAAAGCCAAAAAAAGGTCTGACCCTTTCTGTACAGGGAGCAGGAGTGGGAAAGCTCAGCACAGGACGGCACGCTTTTCACCTTCCCCATCCTTTGCAGCAAGTTATTACTAGAGCTAGCGGGAAAACAGTGGTTTTCGAAGGGCGGGGGTGATCACAGCTTTTCCTGAAGTTCTCTCTTTTTTCATTAAAAACGTGAAAAAGACTTACACCAGTTCCATTCGCCTCCCTCTTTCCACGCTACCCAAATTCTCTACAGTTTCTGGTTAGAAGAGGTGCACCCTGAGGTCACTTGATGAAGTCCCACGTCCTTTTCGGTGCTGCTGTTACACTTATAATCCATAGCAGTGGGGGATCTGCAGCGCTTCTTCGTCAGGTGGTAGACCAAAGCCAGCAGGACCAAAAGCATGGACAGGAGGCCCACAGTGATGCCAACCAGAACGCCAGGGTGGAGGTGGCCTGCCTTTGGCGGTGTCCAGGTGGGGATGGGTGTTTCGGGGCCAGGCTCTAAGTCGCCCGAATAGGTTTCCTCCTCCTCCTCGCCTATTTTTGCGCACTGGTTCCGGTCGACAAGCTTGTACCCCGCGTAGCAGTGACACGTGTAGCTGCCAGGGTGGTTTGTGCAGTTGTGGCTGCAGAAGTTCATGTCGCACTCATCGATGTCGACGCAGAACTTCAGCCCTCCCCCCCGGTCGTCGAAGATGAATCCGTCGGGGCATTCGCAGGAATCCAGCGCGTGCGGGTCGCACTCTGCCGGACACTCGCTCTGGTTGCAGTGCAGGACGCACTGCGTGGGCTCGTGGGGGTGGACGGCATACCCTTCGAAGCAGCTGCAGCGGTAGCCCCCGGGCACGTCCTCGCACTTGTGCTTGCACGAGGTCTCGTAGCAGTGGGACTGGAAGCGGCAGTGCCCGTCCACCATCTCGTAGCCCTGGTGGCACTGGCACCTGAAGCCGCCCTCGGTGTTGACGCAGTCCTGGTCGCAGATGCCCGGCTTGGTGGCGCAGTCGTCGACGTC